TTCTACCTTTGCTCTCAAACAACTGCCGCTCCTGCTCGAAACTCTCCAAGGGCTTCCCTTCTCATTCAGAATAAAAGCCAAAGTCTTCACAATGGCCCATAAAGCCCTGTCCAATCTAACTGCTGACGTGGCTTCCCCCTGCTCTTAGTCTTGCTCCCTCTGCCCTCCCTGACATCCCTTACATACTACAGGTGCACTTACTATGCAGGGCCTTTGCACATGCTGTTCTCTCTGACTGGAGGTTTCTGCTCCTCCAAATACCCTTGTGAATTGCTAGTCCTGCCCAACCTTCAGCTCTTTACTCAAATGCACCTTGTCAATGAGAAATACTCTGACAAGTCTACTTAAAATTGCAGCTTCCTTATGCCCTGTCCCTATTATCTGCTTTACTTTTTTATAAGAATAAAGTATCTCCTCAAGTAACACTCTGTAAGTTTTGTGCATTTCTTTTGTTTATTGACTATCTCCTCCTCTGAGCATGAAAACTCTATAAAGGCAGGAAATCTTTTATGTTTTTTATATGTTTGGTCCACATTAGCATCCTCATCCTCATTGCCCTCATCTCCTGGAACACGGTAGGTCCTTAATAAATACACTTTGAATAAATCTATGAGTTGTTGAATGAATAACATTCTCAACTAGTATTCATCAGATAAACCGTATTAGTCCTGTTGCTTTTAACAAAATACCCAGAACGGGGTAATTTATAAGAAAACAAAATTTATTGTTTACAGTTTCTGCGGCTGGGAAGTCCAAAGTCCAGGGAACACATCTGGTGAAGGTCTTCTTTGATGGTGGCTTTACAGCAATGCAAAGGTCACATGGCAGAAAATGGCAGAGGAGAGAGAGACTAGCTTCCTCATTCACTTTAGAGAAAGAACTAACCTCATTCACTCTCTTTTTAAAGCCCTCAGAACCACACTCCTGACCACCATTATTAATCCATTCACAATGGCATGAGTTCTATAATCTAATCACCTCTTCAAGGCCCCACCTTTCAATTACCATAATAGGATTTCCCACCCTCAACAGTTACAGTGGAAATTAAGCTTCTAATATACCAACACTGGGAGACACAATTCAATCAATCCACAGCATAAATCCTTGCAATAATATCATCTTTTTGTTACTCTATCAACCAATATATTAATTATACAAAATCTAAATGGTTAAAATCCACATGTACTCTTAGAACATTAAATGCT